CTCAGAATTTCAGAACCCACAACAATTGTAATCTAAGCAGCTACAAAAACCCTCTAAAATAAACCAGCCAGAGAAATAAGTATAGTTTTATGTTACAACTGCTCTGTATATGAAAGAGCAATCATCAATAGTACAATTTCATCTCATTCAAACTTGAATACAACTGTTGACAAACAAACAGATGAAATGAGGATGACAGAATGACTCTCTTATTAAACTAGTAACAAATGCTCTAAATAAAGGCTCTGAAATCTACTGGCGTGGTTCCTTGAAGGATATCCCAATCTCTGTTTGGATGGTTTAGCAATATAGGTTTAGCAAAAATGCCCTCTAGAGTATTCAAATTATTTATTTAAAATATATACATATGCATACAACTGGGCTGCCACTGTGACGCCACGTAGTAGATTCAACACACTCCAGAATACAGAAAACACAGATAAGCTATTTCCTTATGTTTTAACATGCATTTTTATAGCAGACATGCAATTCAAGCGTGACTGAACAAAGAAAGAATCAAGGCAGAACAATGATCAATATTTCATCAGGCAGAATTAAAAAAATATATTACATGTAAAATTACAAAAAGGTAAATCTATAAATTATGTTGAGCCTAACCCTACAACTGTATCATTGACAGAGACAGTTGCTTAATTGTATCAAGCCAAGCTTCTCTGAAGCTGTTTTAAGGAAGACTGTAGGCCTTTTAACTACTAGACTAGGAGAATTTGGATTCATCAGCACATTTTCAAGCTTCGTAATAACTGGCCTGCACCACTATGTGTGTTCTAGCCTAAAAATCTATTTGGATGAAGCAAGAGAATCCAGTGCTAATTTTGTGATAGGAAGTGTTGCAGGTGTATGCTACATTGTCAATGTAATAGACTTCTTCCAAAGGAAATTTATAACAATACTAGATAACAGACCTAAATACAGTATTTCATAAAATCACGCTATGGAAAAATTGATTTCCTAATGCAGATATAAAAATAATTCTGAATGAATGTGAAACAAAAATATCATCGATGATTCTCCAATACATTTTTATCATATATATTTAAGTAAAAATAATTTGAAAATACAAGATGGACAGTTAAAATGTATTCAATATGGCCAAACCAGTCCCACATTTCTTAGAATGTCACATTTATAATTATTCTATTCAGCCAGTGCTCTGTAACAATAAAAACTGAAGTAGAAAAATTGGGTGAAGAACACTGAACGTGAAGAGAAAGAGAGAAAGAAACAATATCTAAGGTCAAAGAATACAGTATGCCAAACTTATGTTTCATTATTATTGCATTAAGACAGTTAATTTATGGTTAATATTCTCCACAAGTTGTGACATTCTAGGGATAGCCAAGTAAAAGCAAAATGGCATCATCTGGTTGTAGAAGAAATCAGTTAGAATTAAAACAAAAGCTGTGAGAATTAATAAGCTGCTGCAGATTCTAAGCTTGTGAGGATATCATGCTCTGTTGAGCACAAAATATAAAGCAAAGTTTTTTGGAACTGCTAGTGGAGGTTCTAGAGACCACCAGCTCTCAGTCAAAAGACTTCTCAGGGAAGTACACAACAGATCTGTTCCCTTTTTCCATGGATTTAGTTATCAGGCAATATAAAAAGGGTCACTTTTTATCCCATCCTTCACTATGTCCTGCTACCTTTCACCAATATTAAATATAAAATACAGTGCAGCCTAATTCTTATCTGCTCTCAGAAACAATGCTGTAACAATAATTCCCGAGTCAAGGAGTTTCTATTTTCACAAGATGGTTACAAACCAGAGAAAACTGTCACGCTTAAAACAACCTGCTAAGTCATATTGTTTTATCGATTGAAGTGTTGCCCCTTTTGGTAAACAGTGGAAACCCAGAATGTCAAAAACTAGCTTCTAAAACCTAACTAATACAGCATTCTTACCCACCAAGAAATAACTTATGAATGAACAGAAGTGAAACAATTACAAATTATTAAGGTTATTTTTCTTGTTTCTTTCCCATAAAAACCACATGAAAAAGCTAGGATTTTTCAGCATTATTTATTTGTGAGTGTCTAATCAGCTTATCTTGCCCTTTAAAGAAATACTACTCATTTTAATAATAAAGTTAAAGACCTAGAAAGTTTTAAGAGTTTGTATGCACATCAGCATGCACATGAAGAACATCAACCTCTGCATCTCAACTTCCCCAAAAAGAAAAACAAAAGCCTTACAACTCTTTGCATATGTTTCATTATGCTGTGCTGTCATGTAGAAAGATCAGGGTTTAAAGTTTTATGATCCTGAATGGAATAGCAAAAGGAATACATTATCTGCTAAAAAATACCCACTCTTGATTCTGCATCGAAGAATTTGAAACAGTCACAGCCCTGTCCTCCTACATGAACAAATGGCAATGATTACCAGCCAAATGGTAATCTAGACAACTAGATACAAAATTGGATAAGGAAGCATGTGGGAAGTGGATGAATATCTTTGCATGAATTACCTTTCAGTTACTTCTTCTATTTAAAAGGATCAATAATAATATTAGTCATTTAGATTTAATATAAACTTTGGATGATAACACTGCCAAGTTACAGTAGAGATAAGAACGTACAATATATTAAGAAACCTCTTTCACTATAACTTTGAGGCATTTGGCTGGTGGTTACTGCCAAAGACTGAATAGCATCTGCTCTCACTTTAGCAGTTTATATTCTGACTCTGGTGAATGGAAGCACAATCTCTGAAACAGCCTTTGGGGAACACTACTGAGTTGCTCGACAGAGCTCTTACTCAGAAAAGAAAGGAGATTAATATTACAGAAAACTTGAAACATCTAGCTTCTGAGAAAGAAGAGCAGTTTCCTAATACTGTACATACCACAAATCTCTCTTTTACTAAAACATTAAAAATATGCCCTAAAACTAAAGTGATCATTAAATATGAATAGATTTAAAGGTAGAAAATAAGGTCTGTTTAAGCCATATTCAGGTAAAAGTAAGAAGAAACAATCTATTTTATCTCATTTGTCAACAGGCGTAATGAAAACAGAAGAATGAGGACTCACATAACATACTTTCTTTTTCCTAATGTGCTTGAGAAGGTCACAGCCTCCTTTGCTTAGTCCTGGTGTGTCTAAGCACAGCAACATATGGCAAGACTGAGTTTTGTCGTGAACTTACAGTGTCATTATTTTAAGTGCCCAGTAGCACAAACTACTAAATTTGTGTGTGGTCCTATGCAAACAACAAATCTGGCCACACACAATGAAAACCAAGCTTCTAAAACTTCAAAATCAGCTGAAGGAATTCTCTCCTCAAGAGCCATAGATCCCAGATAGTAGCCACTCCTGAACCCCACAGCCACTTTCAAAACTATAAAAGGCTTCATGTAAAGCCAAAATAAAGCTCTAAAAGTGGCTGCAGGAGATCACTAGGAGTGGCCGCTCTTCTGGATTCACTGCTTTTGAGAAGTAAATCCCTGCAGCTGCTTTTAAAAGCTTTGAAAGTTTCATTTCAATTATCAAAGCCAATAAAGCTTCAAAAACAGCCATAGGGATTTGTTCCTCAGAGGAGCAAACCCCAAAAGGCAGTGATGAATAGTGTGATGGGTTCTGTGGCTCTTAAAGTATGTACAGATTCCTGTAAGTCCTGCACTTGTAATTACAGCTTCATGTTGTGCAGCAATTGTTACACCCAGACATTTCATTAAGGCTTATATGGCAAATTCATTACTGATTTCCCATTCTTTTTAACAGTTTTATGTCTGTTTCCTTTTTGTTTTCTTACACCTGTAAAAACTATTATGTGAGCATCCCTCACAACAGTTTCTCAAACAAATTTCATTAAAGCCTTGCTGGCTTCCTATCTCAGGTGGTGGTAAGCCATCTCACAAAATGTTGCAGATCGCTTTCCCAGACTGCATCACATAATGCCATCATCACATCACTGCAACATGATAACTACAGCATGCAAAATAATCCATGTATCTGAATGAGAACTTAAAAGGGCAGTAATTAAAATACAAAAGTGAAGCTTGACAATAAGTCAATGAAGAACTTTGCCTGCAACTGCAATATAAAAAGGCTTCCATTAATTCAATGAACATAAACACAAATAACATTTCAGAAGTAACCGCATGACTTAAAAACTTAACTGTACTGACTTGTAACAAGGTTTTGGTCTTATCTTTAAAATTACAAAAACTAGATCCCCAAAAATTTTACAAATTTAACTAGTGACATAAGCATAGTTTTAAAAGAAATATATGATTTATGCCCCTAAACAATTTGAGCTTAGTATCTTAAGAAACCGATGGCTCTGAAAATATTACCAAAATTATGTTGAAAAAGATACATTTAGGTACTAGAACATATATAGTATATTAATGAAATATGTCATATAAAATACATTCTGAGCCTACTTACTAACCTTAAAACATCACTAATTTTGAATACTTATTTTTTCTACTACAGTTTTTAACTTCTATTTTCAAATGGCAGAATGAATAAATACACCTTTTTGCCAGGATAAATAAATACACCTTTATGAAAAAATGCTATAAGAAAATCACTATGAACTTAAATAGATGCAGGTGTTAAGAACTGAGTAACTGGTTAGTATGGGGAAAGAAAATCTTGACAGATAACTTCAACATTCTGTTAAATGTTATTCACAGGTGTCCTCTGTGACCTGTACTACTTACTCTACCTCTCTGTTTCAATCTTCTCATGTGTAAAACATGAAGGAGGATTGTGAGAAATAATTAATGTTTGCAAAGAGCTTTGAGATCCTTGGACATAAAAAACACAGGGAGAGCATGAAGTATAAAAGTACCAGTATACTATTTTTTTCCAACTTGAACTAAGTTACTTTTATCACAAAAACCTTGAAAGTTTAGTAATACAAGATTATGTAATAAAATGCTTAAAAAACAATCTTAAGTGCTAAGCATGTTCTCAGAATCTCGTAACTCCAAAGGAAACACTATCAAAAGGAAAGGACATGTTTCTCACCCATTTCAAGTATGCGTTTATGTAGAGGTATAGCAGCAAGAAAGGGTTCATCTTTACAGGACTGTATCTGGGTTCCAACCAAGTCAGAGTTGGCAGCCATAATTCGGGCACTTTCTTCATTAAGATTAACACCAGCCATAGAGGCAACATCATTGATGTCATCATCATCTCTATAATGAAAAAAAAACCCAAATAAAAATAATTCTGCATGTGATACATTCGTTTTGTATATTACCTGCTTCTCCAAAAGTAATCATCATGCAATATGCCCAGTGGCTGGGCCAACTTGAGGCACAACCACTAGGGTCTCCATTTTCATAGAATATATTCCAGATTCAGAAATGACTAAATATTACTCTGATCACATTAGGAATACTTAGAAGCAGGACAATTTGTCTGTAACAGACGGTGAGACAGAGGTGTCTTTTCTTCATCTGAAAATCAGTGATATCAATGAAACCAGATGGTCAGGAAACTAAAGGCAATGATCACCACTAAAGACAGAGCATTTGGCTATTCTCTTTATGCTAAAAACTAGGAGTAAAATGATAAAATAAATAAAAACCCCACAGACATTAAAAGCAAAAACATGAATTTGGAATCCTGCACTGTTTCACAAGTTCCTATCAAAATGGGCACCAAAGCATTTTCAGCAGTAGTCAGGAAAGATTCTTTGACCATGATGAGTTCATAAGTAAGTTTTGGTTCCAGCTGTGGTTTGAATATGCGCTGGTATTTTTGCTGGCAACATACAAAAATCAGTTGAACATGTCAACTACTTTTAGAAAAATTAGCTGCATTTGAGAAGATGATAGCAGCACTTCCCAGGCCACTGTTTGCCCTGCAATACCCTTCCTAACAGCTTGAGGAAGTTCTAACAAATTTGAGTTTCCATACCTGTATCTCTCAAGCATCTTTTACCTCCTACCTCTGTGAGGTATGACTCACAACTGTGGAAACAATCACCTGTTTTTAGCGCATGCTGTTTAGGAGTTATTACTGACATGAACACTGTATTTCAGCATATTCTAGGAGCGATTACACAACCTTTGAGAATGTATATATGGAAAAGATCCACATAGATCCAAGTCCAGACTCCTACTACTGCATAAAGCAAACAAATAAAAGCTTAATTTAAAAGGTTTTTAAAAAATTATTACATAGATGTCCTATGCACTCTAGAATACTTTCTGTCACTTGTAACAAGTTTAACACCTACAGTAAAAAACAAAAGCTACAAGTAACATCTGAGAACAAAAGGAGAGAAAACTAGAAATCCATAATCTAGGTCTTTCCTGTCCTCCCATACTCTCCTTGATATCTGCGCTAGAGCAGCCAATTTTGGTGGAAGACTTGTATGGTTTGTTAGATACTGGTTTTGTTTTCCCTTGTGGGAAGAAGTTAAGGCAGGATTTTTGTTTGTATAAACCTGCAGAAATGTGCTGAACACTTGAGACAGAAAATGGAAAATTTTACAATGATTGTCAGAAAAATGCTACACAAACGAGCTGTTATTATTTTCCATGAGTGTTAAGCACTTGATTTCTTCTCTTGGAATGAAATTCCTGAGGATAGTGTCACAAAATTGATCTCCTGCCTTGATGGTTTTCATGCTGAGTCTAAAGGATTTTCATTTTTACATTTCACATGGCATGTATGTGATACTCATAGGAGGGTCGCAAGAGCCACCATGAAGAAACTGGGCTCCTATGCATTCAGTGCATAGATGACCAAACTACTCTTCGGCCTTGTCCAACCAGTTGTGAAACGGCCCCCAAATATCAGAGCTGATAAATGTACTTGGCCACATAACAACTAACAGTGACTTAAATATTCAGTGACAAGTTCAAAAGATTCCAACTACAAATGAAAAACAGCAATAAAAACTGAAAAAGGGGAAAACCTAAGATTTTTGGGGGTTAAAAACCTCAATGCTTAAAATAGAATGAGCATCACCCAGGGTGATCTACCCAGGACTCACAAGGCCCAAATCCAGCAGGCCTTTTAAACCATGGCAAAACCAAATTCATATAAAGGTAGTTAACATAACACAAACTCAAAGCTATGTAAGATAGTGGAAGCTACTGGAAAACAGACTTGAGCCCAGAATTTCAAAATAAAGCTAAAACCGACCAAACTACAAAACATTAACCAGCTTGTGCAGTTAAAAAAAATTAATAATCCAATATTGATTCCCAGTGGACCCTCACATCTCTGTGGGTGCAAAGGCAGCGCTGCTTCTCTGTGGGGTCCGGCAGTGCCTGGGTACCGCTGCCTGCTGAGGGGACCTGAGCACAAAGACTCAAAGGATCTTGATAAAATATTAACTGAGCAGGAAACTCGTATGCTTTCTCTATATATAGCCCCCCATGATCTCACTTGCTTTAGCAAGCATTTATCACACAGTTACGCACCATCTGGCTAGCAGTAAGTAATACAGTCTCAATCCGTATTTCCAGATCAGGTTGCCAGGACTGAGGTACTTTCACGTCCTTCAAGCAATCATCCATACAAAAATATACACAATTTTTAAGAGAAGTTTATACTTATCTCTACTTTTACTTAATAGCTGAAGAAAGTACAATCCATCTTTTATCTTCCTTCTGCTTAGCTTTTTAGCTAAACCAGGATTCCAATGAAATTATCAAAATCAATGCAATAGCACTTATAAAGACCATCACTGTAACTCCTGGACAGAATCATTTCCTTCCATCTTACACTGGCAATCTACTATCTGTGAGTACATCTGTTGGTTGGTTTTTTTTTTAAACGTTACATGGAAGACATATGAAATGTTTTAATCATAGTCGGGACTATAATTTTTTCAGTCTAATGGGAAAAAACTCTATCAATATATCCTTTTTGACTCTGAGGAACTTCATCACGAAAAAGAGCTTGGGTTTGGATACGAAACACACACACGTTTATATATAAAAAGGGCTGACATTCTTGCCAAACAATTTCCTATAAAAGTCAACTTTTAAGTCCAGATGAGTGAGTTTTCAGAAGTCATTCTGTGGAACAAAGATGCCATCCAGTGGTCGCCTAGATAGACAGTAATCATCAATCTTCCCCTTTTCATCCCAGCACAGTATTTAACAATTTCATGTTTCTTGGCATATAGCGTACTGTGCTCATACTAATTATACTGTTTCAGTAATTATTTCTGTTTTCTACTGAATTAAATTCTGAGTCTTCTGGGATAAATCTAACATTCCAACATGCATGCTATTTTTAAGAAGACAGCATGGGTTCTCAAACTCTTTCCAAACACAGGCTACATCTTAAAGTAGCCTAAGAGTTCAATTCTTCCTCCTATATTCAAACTCTTGTAACACCTCACCCTCTCCTCTTCATTAAAAACACTCGTGCAATTACAAAAAAAACCCCAAAACCCTTATTTGAGAATAAGAAAGAAAAAACAAAGTATTCACACAGTTGTCCGTAACATGCTTCAAAGATTTTGTTTAAACTAAGACAAGCCATTATAAAAGTCTGGTAGCATTTTTTTTATTAACAATTCTTAACTGCATGATTGCATACTGTTTTTTCTTTCTCATGCACTTTGTAAGATTTGAGCCAATGATGTCCAAATCTGCAATACTGAACTGCTCCCAAATAAGCTATAAGAATACATAAAGCAACTGAGACAACACTGTACTATTGATCCTCCTCTCTCTCAAAAGTGAAATTTCATGTTTTTAGGACAAAGTCCCTACACGTATGCAAGACTGAGCAAGTCTACAAATTCCATGGATCACAAGATCAGAGATCAACAACAATACACTGGATATAAACGGTGACTTGAAATTACAGTAACAGCCACTACTATATTACATTTCATACTGGCATAAATTCTATTTACACAAACTTCTTATAATGCTTATTCTGACTTCAAAGCTTTCATTTGAAATTTCTCTCTAGTACTGCTTTGTCATACAATTCATTCATGGTCTATGTTGGATCTTCTCACTGATAAGCAAAAGGGATGACAGAACATACCACATTTGTAGTCAGCATTTTTCTTTATTTTGAAAAATATGGAAAAAATACATGATCACATTATAGCTTGAAATATTTATTTGGAAAAACAAAGAAACTTAAAGCTTAAGGCTTTACATCATATACCATTTTGAGATGAAAACTTGGAAGATATCCTTTTAACACTTACATTAGGCTTTCTATCTCTCCTTAAAGGACGTTCTGCTTTGCACATTATTAGATGTAACATCATGCATTTTGAGGCATTTTGCCAGAACTATATTTTTAAAAATAAAAATGAAATAACAGGCAATAGATTCTTTTGGCTAGGCAAAAGAGGTCTAAAAACAAATTTTTTATTCCCAGGTAGACTCTACTTTAAAATGATGCCAGTCAGCAGCATAAAATACAAATACTAAGATAAGCTTCAGACGATCTCAGTCACTTCATAGAACTGATTCTGAAAAAAACCCATCACATTGGCTGTATAAAACCTGATACTGACGGGCTCCAAGAGGTTACCTATAACTTCAAAGTACTGTTTCAGAAAAAGAAAGGTTGCTGCGAAAAGGAAGGAGCATCTGGCTAGCTGGTACACGTTGGCAAACATACCATCATCACTCACATTAAGGGAACGGTTCTGTCCACTTCTTGCCTCATTTTACATGCAATGCCACTGAGCCTTACTCAATACAGTTAGGAAGTGGTAGGATAATACAAGAGCACAAACATGTATCTCCATCCTTGGAGATATGTAGAACTGGACAAGTCCCTGATCTAACCAAACCTGCTCTGAGTCAGAAGTTGGATTAGTTGACCTCCCAAGGTCCCTTCTAACTGAAATTTTTCTGACTCTCTATCGGGGGAACAAATGTTTCCACTAGTTCTTTATATTGGCCACAATCCGAACTATAGGTAATAATTACTTTGAGAGTCTGCTACTTTCACTGTCATCAGTGGTAAACTTTGTTAGTGGGAGCTCTGAGGTTACCAAACTAGATGATGATGTACACAGCAGTTGTAGCCAAATACGCAGGCCCCTAGCATACTTCAGTGCGCCTTCTGCTTCATCTCTCCCGACTACAGAAATCTCTAGCTGGACTATTACAGTACAAATGTAAGCCTGGATCTCTACTGTAAAACAAACAAACAAAAAATTACAAAAAATGGAAATCAAATTTCCATCCTTAGGTATTAACGTAGTTGAAAAGTCAACTAAATGGAGTTGTTTGTAGTTCTCTCTGAAAACTTAGCAACAATAAATTTTAATACCAAAAAAGGTGACATAAAATTTCATGAATACAACAACTTTACATTGCAGAAGTCTTGGGTTGAAAACTCTGTGTCATAGAACAGCTACTATAATATCCAGTGAACTCATGTAAGCAGTCTTACAGTTCATTAATAAATGCTGACATTAAAGGCTAAGCTGTAATTTGCAAAATTCCTAATTGCTACGTCTTTTATGTAATTCCTTCCTGTATTTCCCACAGTCCAGAACAGAAGAAACTGAAAATAACAAAGTCCACATTTTCATTTCTAGTGACCAACACTTTGCTCACAAGAGTGAAAAGCTCAAGTAAGTCATTTTAAAGAAAGCAGAATATAAAATAATGAAACAAATATGCAATAATAAAACACTAAGGGCAAAATAAATTTATACATAACACAACTATTTTTCAAAATTCTTTCTTTGCTTTAGATGCCAGTTTGCCTTCTGGCTAAAAACACATTCTTCACACACGCTGGGAATGTTGAGGAAAACTAGTCAGCATTCAGAGGATTAATACAGATTTCCAGCTCTGTGCCTTTAGGCTTAATAGTCAGACATCTATTTGTCCTCAGGAGAGGTTAGGGGTTGAAATGCAAATATGCAAACAACTGAATTCTTTGTTAAGGTATCAAGAAAAAGCTTGATCTTTGCTGCTGTTTAATAAATCCTTGCAATTTTATGGACTTATTTAAATGCAGCTTTGTGTCTTACTATTTTGAAGGAGAAAACAATGCAAGGAAACAAACACATTCATTCTGACTAAAATTTGTTCTCTAGAGGAAAAATGACATACACCCTTGACAGCTTATTTACCAAACTCACTAAAGATTTATTGATTTATCAATCAGTGCCTTGAGCATTTGCTTCTCCCCAAGGGAAAATTAACAATTCCAGCTAACCTAATATATTCTATGTATAAACTAAGTGAATGCAAGAATCAATCCTGGCACAGTTTACAACATCCAGTTAAAAAAATGCTGTCCCTTTTGGTGTATGTAAAATTGAAAGCTACACTAACGAAGAATAAATGCTCATGTTGCTTAAAAACATAAAAAATACTTATTAAGACAGTACAATTGAACCCAACAGACATTTTAAATCATTTAAATACTCAGTGGGAGGCAAAAGCATTGGAAAATAAAAAATTGAATGATTTTGCTTCTAGATTAATACTAAGTACTACCACTATTAGTTGCAATACTGACATGCCTCAAAGCAGAGATATTTCAGAGCTACAAATTCTCTTTTACTTCACCTGCAAAAGCATAAGCCTGAAAATTAATTAGTGGTTTGCTGATGTCAGAGCAACATAAGAATTCCAGAAGATGAAAATTAAAATCTAGGAATATTTTGTCATTTAACAAAGAAAGAAAATGTTTAAACACAAATAAAATGTACTTTCATCAGTGGAAAAAAATTAAAATGATGGTAGCGAAAGCAAAATGCAGTAAACATAAGATTAACTTTTCACTACAAAGAGTAAAAATATCCAAAATATATATAAAATAGAAGTTTGAAGTACGAAAGAACTGGTATAGCAGCTCAATGCATCAATGCCACCGTGTTGAACCTTTGCAGCACCTGATTACTACAGGGACCCACAGAATGCCCCAACCTCTGCTACCTAAGTAAGAACGTGAAGAATAGATACAGCAATGTCTTCTCATCAAAACCAAGAACAACAATCCTACACACACACACACACAAAAAAACCCCAAACCCCACTACCAAAACCATACAGTATTTTCTCTACGCTGATGAGGAGAGAGCTGCAGCTTAGCTGCAGAAGCCTATCGACAGGAGGCCTTGTCGTCACAATTAGTATCTTCTCAGCAAGATGTGTTCTATATGAACGTTAGAATCCAATATGTAAAACCAACCATGTATTTTTTTTTTTTTAAAAACTTCATACACATAATTCCATTTACCAGAAGTTTTAGTATAATCCACAGAATTGAAGGCTTCACTAAATATTAAAAAGTGCATTTAGAGAAAAATCCTCAAGACAGGTCATGACCCCCTCCCTTTTTTAAAAATAGAACTAAGAAAGAAAATTGTCATTCAATCACAGTAAGAAAATGCAGGAATTATTGTAAAACACTGCCCTCTGGTGTTAAGCCAATTCTAAATTCTGTTTTATATTTAAGATCCCCCCAGTGACCCCCCTGCATTTTTTTTTTTTATTATTTTTTATTTTTTTACCTGAAAGAACCACCTCCAGGGTCATTCAGCTTGTTTTTCTGATTTGCAGAGACCTGAACACCAAAGCCCCCAGGACTTTTGCTGGCTTGTATTGTTGGTGCCTTCCCTACTGTGCCTGAAAAACACCAAGCAATGTTATTATGAGCTGTCTTAGACAATTTACATCAAAGAACCTTCTGTCCAGGAACTAAATTTAACTGTCTGTAAATTGCAAACAAAGGAAGTTATTATTTTTAAAGATTACACTGCTGAAGAAGAACAATTTAAAATACAAAATTTATATTAACATTACAGTTTGTTCAATGTTTACAGAATACTGAAGATTCCAAAACTGAACACCGCTGGCCATAACTTGTTATAATACACATAATGGCTATAAGTGTGTTTGCAATTGCCAGTAAACCATTTTTCTAGATAATCTGCACAGAATAAAGAAGCAGAATTTGAAATGTTCTTAATACAGATGCTTTAAGTCACAGTCACTCAGGGTATTAACTATGCCTTTTACATTTTTCTTTATAGTCATTGTTCTTTGTTGCAGTGAAAAACATATTTTCAGAGTTGAAAACATTACTTTAAATATTTTAAAATGTTTTATATTGTATGTAAAAGAAAAAACACTATTGTAAAATTTGCTATAACCCCCCTCATAAAGGTTGTCTTTCACTTTCTTATTTTTAAAACGATGATTTAAAAGTAATTCATCTCTGTATCTAGACTTTACAGGTCTATACGTAGAAGTAAAACTGGGCTTTCTAAATGAGCCGAAGTGCGGTGGACATTCAGCTTCCTGTGACAGTAAATTAAAAAATGGATATTAATTCCTCTCTGACATTTGGAAAAATCTAACCAAAATCAATTACAAATTTAAGTTGCTGATTAGTAAATCAACAGACCTGTATTACTATTATTAAAAATACTGTACCAGTATGCAACTGAAAAAGCATTGACAAACGAAACTTTTGGAGTAAGCCCTCCTTTACTGCTTAAACACATGTCTACTTGGGTTATATTTTGTGTTTCCTTTAATACCACCTGTGTTTTGGCATGTGAAAATACTTAATTTGTATGTCTACTTGACTTAAAAGAGCTCACCTTTTTCTTGTATATCACTCAATTTTATTGAGCGTTACATAAATATAGTGTTTGAGACTTTGAGAAGTATGCGAAAGTTATTCCTGCACATCTACGACTCAATTGCATATAAATGGCATGGTATGAACCCTAGTAGAGTTACATTATTTTTCTTTCATGAATTATAAAAACCTGAAACACAACTACCCCAACAAATCCTTTTAAGAATACTTCTTTGCTAAAACAAAAGTGTTAGCTTTGAATGAGGCCAGCATTACTTTTTTTATTTTGAAGTCTTCATCAACTTCAACATATGATCTTAAAGCGAAACTAATTTGACGGTGTTCGTTCAGTTCTTCAGTCTGTATAAATAAACTGTTGTGTGGACTCTCAACATCAGCAAATATAAAACAAGATTTAGGACTTCAGGCTCCAAGTGGGGAACAAAAATATTTTGTCATCAGAATATTTAAGGTCCATGAGATGTCACAGATAGCATTAGTTCATGGACCAGACAGTTCATTTATCTATTTCAGATGAACTAATTGAAAGGTTTTCTACTAAGTGAACTGGAAGGAAAGAAATAATACAGTAACAAAAATTAGCGGATCACTGCTTTCTACAATTAACATCTAGGAGATTAAAAGTATGTTAACCTCGAAAATTATTGCAATGGCGAAATTAAGGTAACAGTGGCACTCCTCCAGAATTAATATCATATTCCTTTAGAACTAGTATCAATGATTTGTTTTCTACAGATGATAACTTTTGATTAAAAAAAAAAAACAACACCCCAAAAACACAAACCAAAAAGGTACAGCAACAGAGTAGTTAACTTCTTGGTCTCAGGAAAACAGTATGTCTACACTGGATATGGAAAAATTAAGTCTCACTTTCTTTCACCCCATGTATATGTAATTCTACTTAAATGGATCTGGCAAAGTAAATTTAAGTTTTGGGATGACATACAAGTTTTCTGATTTAAATCACAACAGTGCATGATTAAGCAGTTAGACACAAAATATGGCTAAAACGTCAATTTATATTATGAGGCAGGGCATATTTTGAAAAATAATATCACCTGTGGGCCTAGATATTTCATGGGATTGGTAATGACATACAGAGTCTTTCACCACTGGGTCCTCATTTAAAATTTTAAGTAGCATGATCTAGGGAAATAAGATATATATAAAAAATTATTTTACTCTTTGGCTCAATTCCCCCATCCATAAGATGCAATTCACCTAATTATTATACTAATAAGTACTTTGATAAAGGAGCGTGAATTTTTCGTGCAATAACTATAGTGTTATTTCTCCTGGTGTGGAAGTAATTTTATTAATATAAAAGCCCTTAAAGCCTGCCAACTTTATCTATACTACTGTTTAAAAAAAGCATTACAGTCTGTTCACATGGGTGCATTAATATGACTGTAAAGACACATTACACTAGGAGATTTACTCCTACCTGAGAAGGAAAATGCACCATTCTGTGGAAGTCAGCTCAGTTCTGGTGTAACTATCATTAAAAAGTCACACTCCACAAAATTATACTACTGTAATTTTCTATATAGACCACATCTTATTCCAGTATCTTAACTCCTTCTACAGGAATACCTAGGCCAGTATAAAATATCATTATACTGGTGTTTACAGTAGAAAGTTTTAACAATATATCAAGATCAAAATAAACGGGTATCTGACAGTATGCCATAGAGGCATTTCTTAGAGCTGCAAGCACACAGGCGGACTTTTCCCTAGACGTGGGCTGCAGGATGAGCAGTTTTACAATGGGATGTTTTCTAAATTTCTATTCTGTTTGCTTTGTCTGTGTAATTAAAACAATATAGTGGCAGGCTTAAACAAGCTTGTAAATAGGGATAAGCTCACCTGAAAGCGGGGCTTTGCATGAATTGGCCTTTATGAGCCATTGTCTTCCTTAAGCCAAACTGCCAGTTAAGTTGCATTTCATTGGCTGATCAATGGCTATCATGAATAAATTTGTATTCTGAATCCACTGTTTAAAAGACAGATGCCAGTATCATGCAAATTCATGGCACACTGTTGACATTCACAATTTAGAGACTGAACAAGCAAAGAAATGAAATCAGCCTTCACTCTCAGACACATTAGTCAGAAGTGAAAGCTCATGCTATAAGATGCCAAATACCTTCCCTGTTAATAAACTCAGGACATGAGTATCAGTGCTATCAAATATACATCTTTCATGACAAGTACATGCGTTTCTTCCTAACTTGGAAGAATGGCCTACAGGATTACAGTGACAGCTTGGCCTCCATGTCCATTCAACCTTTGGATTTTCTGAAGGGAACAGGGCAAGTAGAACATCAACTGCTATTAACTGTGATCATTGGGGTTTTTTATGCTTTCTTTTCCCAAGGAGAACAGAAAAGATCAAGCAATAAAGTCAAATAGGCAGCAATAGCTTTTATGTGCATTTAAACTAGTTTGATTTCTGATTCAATACCTAAAGATGACAAGCTCTGTATTCCATTACAAACCCTCGATCATCTAAATGCCCACATCCAAAAAGATACTCTCACACATAATCAGGAAAAATAAAAACCGAGCGTAACAGGTCTAGTGGTGGAAAGAAACAAATGGATATTTATTAGAACGTAAGAAGGCTTCAAGAACCCTCTTAAAAAGTGAGATGTATCAGCCAGACATTAATCCACCTGTGCACAGACAGATGACAAAGTTGTGTACAAACTACACCTCTTGCTCCTCTGGTTAATCATGGCATGTCAGGGTGCTGCAGTCAGTCTCTGACCTCACCAAAGAGTACACGTACTGGCAGGGGAGAAGAAAAAAAAAAAAGCACGTGGGTTGAGAAATTTCTCTAGGACTCCTACCTTGACCTCTATAGCTGCAGAGACAGTGACTATCATGTTCCGCTTCAGGAGTAAGAGTTAAAAGTAGGATGATTAAATTGAGGCATCCTCTAGGCTTCAGGAAAAAAATAAGTAATTTCTCTCTTGGCCCAGAGTTAGAGCTTAGGACAGTAAGAGTCAAGTTCCTGACTTCTTTCAGAACTTTCCATGAAAAACTGCTGAGTAAGGAGCTAAGCACTGAGAGTTTAGTCCTAAGGTTGTTTGAAAACATTTCACTGTGTTGGTCTGAAATACCTTGAAACTGCATAGTGAAAACATGCATTCCTCAGCCAGTATGAAGTAAAAAATAAATGTCAAGCCTGCCAATGTCAACAGTGTAAGTTTTTCCCATGCTACTAGTTTGTAATTACAATGAAATTCACACAAAGGTAACAATCTCACTAAAACATTTAAACCCATACCTTGTGGTCTAATGGTCTGAGTTATTACCACTGGCATCCTAATCTGGGTAGTCTGGCAAGCAGGGTTTCGTTTCACAGTTTGAGCAGATGTTGACTGGATAATCTGCTATTATTAAAAAAAAGTATACTTATATTATACTCTTTATACACAAACACACACAACGTAAATATACTAATACCTGTAATTACTAATATAAGCATGTGGATCTCTAAAAGCACAACCAGCTAGTGACAAAAGTCATATTCATGTAATGCATGCGGTTGTGTGTGTGTGTATATACCTATTTTGCCATTATGCATTTAAAAAAATCAAATAATATTCGACACAAATGTCATGTCACAACCTTCATCAAAAATATATTTCAAAGTAGTAAGGTTAATATTAAAGTTTAGACTTTTGTCTTCAGAAATTTTACTAGGAAGAAAAGCATTTTTGTAGAAGAAAATGCTGCAATAATTTTAGTGGTATCCACCTACAAGCATTAGGCCTTTCACTCTATATCTACGCTTTTTAAAGAAAATATATACTAAAAGTAAATTCTAAAATATTATGGGTTCCAAAGTCAGATATACACAAGAAAGAAAACAATGTTTTGTGGTGATCGTACTATTCATCTTTTAAATGTTAATTGGATATTCTCAAGGTTTCACTTACTACTAAGCCAAGTTCTGAAGTCCTTACCCAAAACTGAAACTGGGTTAAAAACTTAGAATTTGACCCATAAACAAATCAAAATAAAAAAGAAAAAACCTGCAAGGGTCATGTCTAAGCGACAGCAAAATGTACGTTCATGAAATCAGGGACAAGGCAGGTACAGATGTAATGAAAAGAAGATTCAAAAAGACATGTGGATGCTGCAGAGCTGGAAAAAAAATCTGTAAATAATCTTGAAAACAAAACACGGGCAAATAGCTGCGAATAAGATTACAACCACAACTCAGGCATGACAACTTCAGAAGTCATGTGCTCTTCACAGTCACAACTATGTTACTCCCATTGCATAATGTGTCTGCTGTTTCTGAATTGCACGTCTCAGTCTCACACCCACAAAATGCAGTATTCCCTCCTAGAAGACAATACGCCATGCTACACACCACGACGTGAAGCAAACAGGAACCACTGCACCTTTATTCAGCACCAGTCAGCATTATTCTTACAAAGTGCATCTAAAACCGTATTATTTAGCTGAATAATGAATGGCCAAATCTCTGACTTCAAAGTATGCTATGGAGAAAAGGAAAGGAGAAACAGTATTTTCAAATGAGACATAAAAGTAGAGAATGAAGAGGCTACGGAACAAACAGGAAATTGTTCCATCAGCAGGGCTCCCAAATCGGAAGAAAGAGAGGTGAAAACTATAAACAAGAAAAGAGTAATGAGGGAACAAGACCTGTAATGCAGTCTGGAGAAAAAATAAATAGGGCCATTTTGAAATTACGAAATTGCATTCTGTACATCCTAAAATATTAAAAGGTGAAAAGTCATAATTAACCTGTGGATGCAGAAGTATTAGCAATAGCTACCTTGCAGAAAGAGAAAAGGGAAAAAAAGATTAAGGATTCAGCTTCAACTATGGACACTGAAGGAAAATGCAGCATTTGTACTAAGCACAGAAACAGAGCAAATGGATGTACATTTACTTGGTCAAGACAGGCAGTAAGTAAATAGTGACACTCAGAGGGGAAAGAATAAAGTAGCTACCATGCTTAAAAACAGGAAAGAAATAGAGGTGATAAGTGAAAATGAGGGGAAAAGTTGAATTTGACTGCATTTTGATGCACAGGAAACATGTACAAGTGTATTTTAATAAGTAAGGAGACAGAATAGCCCACAGGAAAAAAAAGACTACGTTGGTATGAAAAAGAAGGAGAATGTTGCCACTTTTACAATAATTTATTGGATGAGTTTTCAGAGAATAGTGAAGACAAGCAGCCATACCTTAACTGGCCAGAAGCCAGGCCAAAAAGGACATGTGTGTGACCTGTGGATAGAATTACTATCTGGTATTACAGTAATCATCTGCGATTAGATTTTTTTCTTTGTGAAGCAAGCAACTTCTACAGTTCAGAATCAAGTTCTGTTTCACCTGATCAATATTTTCATGTAAATGCCCTAAAAAATGAGCCACTAACACCATTAAAGATAGGACAGTATTTAACCATTTAAGATGACATAAGTAATGGCAATGTTTTCTTTACTATCAAACACATTCAAAAAACGTCCTTTAACAAGTACCGTACTAGGACTTCAATGTATGTAAAAGTGCTGGAAGTGTAGAAAATGATTGAGAAATAAACTTTTCCAAGGGGCACAGATCAAAATCATCTTAAATTCCATATAGAAAGCAGTCAGCAACAAGCACGTACTCTCAAAAAGGAACAACTGCACCTGAACTCAGAGCAACATTTTACACTAACTTAAATTCCAGTGTCTATACAGTTTTAAGACACGTTTCAACACAAATGTAACCTTCAGATCTGGAAATGACTGAGGAATGAACGTTAGCAATTTGTTTCTGAAACAGGATGTGTGAACTTCTTTGCAGGCAAACAGGGGACATATTAAAAACTGATGAATCAGAGGTCATTGACCTTGCATTAAAATTTATAAACAATCTAAACCACCCTTCATCAATTAAAATAATTCAAACTGTTCTAATACTCTTGCCTATTTTCCCAACAGCATAAACATTACTATTATGTCCTTAACTTTGCCTGAAAAGTGTAGACAATGAACAAGGTGCTAGCAAGCTAGTCTGGGAGATGATTAACTTAACCAAATTATTTCATATTTCTCACAGCCTAAAAATACACACAATGAGTCTACCCCATCTAATGTTATCTATTCAGATGCTGAATCAATGCTGAATCCCAAATGATCAGTTCGTAAGCACCAATTTACTAACCCAGACTGATACAGAAGATACAGAAGTGGATGTTTTAGTATACTGAGGTTATCAGGGACATTACATCAGCCTTCAGAAAAGGGGAGATCTTATTGCTGTCTGCAAACACCTAATGCGAAGATGAAGAGAAGACTCTCTCAGACTCTCTCAGAGGTGCAGAGCAGAAGGATGTGACACAATGGGCACAAGTTGGAATATGGGAAATTTCAGTTTAATATAAGGAAAAAAGAAATTTACCAAGAGAGTGGGCAAGCACTGGAACAGCTTGCCCAGAGAGGCTGTGTAATCTCATCTTGAAGATACTCAAAACATGACTGGTCAAGGCCCTGGGCAACGTGCTAACCTGTAAGCAGGAGGTTGGACTAGACACCTGCAGAAGTCCTTTCCAACCTTTTACCGCTACATCCATAATCATAACATCAATGATCTTATAAAAGTGCTGAGACAGAAAAGGTAACAAGACAGAATATAAAAGTCTTCAAAGTTTACAGAAACTATTCATCATTCCATCTCCACTAAAAAGAAGGGAAGCCATTTTCATTATTTCCACCACTGAAAACAGCAAGCACAACAGCAGAGCAGTAACAACAAAGGCACAGAAAATAAAAAAGATTTAATGTGATTTAGCCATTGCCTGGATTTGATAATGAGTTTGGAAAATAACAAAATTACTAAACAAAATTATGATCAAGACAGTGCCGAGACAGCAAGTACTGTCATATACCAACTTATTCCTCTTCAATCTATCAGTCAAAAGTTGAAGAATCATCTTTTAAGGCTGCTGCGCTTTGGAGCTCTTCAAGGAACACACTGAAGCAGAAAGTCATGGCATTGCTTCTCCGAGTGTAACATGTGAAAAGTTACCTAAATTTTTTTTCTATAAAATAACATTTTTCTGCAAAATAAGACACATTTCTCACAACAGAAAGTATTCTCCCTTTTTTATTTCATCTTCCTGCTTCTCCCCTTAACCATCATCTTTCCACTCCACTAGTCACGCTCACTTTGATTCACCATCTGTCTGCTCCCCCAGACAAGTTCCTTCTCTCACTTCCCGAATGCTTCAGACTACTACTCTGTCCATTTCTAAAGTTCACTTCATTTTCACATCTGTAAAAAGGGATGTTTGTACAAAGGTGCTTCCACAAAACAAGCAGACTTTATGAAGATGAAAAACGGACATTTACCAGCCACACTATTGATAACCAGAATAACAAAGTGGTGACAGCTGAAATACTCATTTTTCTTAAGGCCCTTCTTCAAAAAGCTTAGATTCAATAACTACATGAGAATAAAGTAATAGTGCTCTCTGGTCCTCATCTCAAGCCAAAAGGTGATGACCATACCACGACAGGTGTGAATCTTCTACTGTATATGTTATTGCAGGACAAAGATTACAGATGTGAACACAGACCAATAATTAACAACACAAATGACCAACAAATACAGACTGAGAAAGAATTCAGCCAAAGCACATAAAATGTATAAAAGCAGAAAGACTGATAACTTCTGTTCTCTTTCTCTTACCTAAACAGGAGATACTAAGTAAAAATGAAAGCTACTAGCTACAAACCATTGAAAGGAAAACTCCTTTAGGACAATTAGATTAGAACTCACTGCTAAAGTCTTTGAGGACAAGGATTTTGCAAGTCTCAACAATCTAGATGCTCCTTTACCAATGCAGATGCATGGGGTCCCAACAATATGCTTCCCCTTACTTGACAAGGGCTGCAAAATCAGCCTGACTCTATTTACATAAATCACACTTTGCAACAAAAGCATCTGATCCAAAGGCTTAAGCATATCAAATACAGCAATAAAAACAAAAGCATAGGAAATAGAAGCTTCTGCAAAGAATGGAAAATAAATTTGGAAAATATATCCCTTACCAAGCATTTTTTCTCTCAATTAAGTTAAAAAAAGTATTGTGGAAGGAAGAAACAAGCCACTTGTAAATGTACAAAATTCAGAATGGCTATGGTCTGATATGACATTTATCTTCACTCATGAGTAAACGCTTGCTAACTCACTTGTGGCTATGCCACTTGTGATTTATCAGTCTACTCAATCCTGAAGATAAATGTCATATCAAACCTCAGCTATCATGTAATCTGGCAGCATTAACTTACAATGTTCATGCTTTTATGGGCCTAGAATTCATATTTACCATTGTTTACCACACGGTAATAGTAACAGTTACAATTTTTCAACAGTGCCTCAAAATTTGCATAAGCAATTATTTTTCCTCCCAAATAAAAAAAAAAAACGGACTTTTTTAAAGCTGAGCACATAATTTTTAATGTTAATATGACAACAATATTGTTCCATTAGGTATATCTTTTCAAAGCAGCAATGAAGAAAAATAAAACCAAAAGCCACTGGATCACTTGTCCCACCTGCTCCCCAATTTATTATACAATTCTTCCTACAGTATTTCACCTGGTCTAATTTTGAATTTTTTCAATGATGGCTTTTTCATCACTGCCTTTGGAAGCCTCATCTACCATCTAATAAACTGTCTTACTGTAAGGATATTTTGCCTTATATTTTGCTTAAACGCTACTTTGCTTAATTATATCCCATTATTCATATTTATACTCTCTTAGACCGCTCTAAATAATTCATCTATATACTTTGTTTAAACCCTTAAAATATTTGTAAATGTTTTCATGCTCCGCTTTAGTCAACGTTTGACCACGTTACGTGTGTTTAATTCTTTTAAGCTTTTCTTTTAGTCTTTGCTTGCAAGTTTGTCCTTTAATTGCCATCTTTTGTTACTAGTTTCCAAACAGCATTCATTGCCAATATCCTCCTTATATTAAGGTACAGCCCACAAAATTCTGAAAGTAAAGCCCACGATAACAATTCTGAAAACTACTAGCCTGTATTTCAAATAGGCATACAATTTGTCAAATATAGGCTTTGTTCCTGTTAATGGATCCCAGACATCTACTGCTCAACAACCATTGTTATTTAAATTTTATTGTACACCAAATTCCAAGTCAGCGACTACATCTTTAGTAGTTCATTAATAGAAACCCCTCCTTTTATCCAAATAGCCATCTTTTACTCTTCCATTTCTAAGCTGCCTTGCACACAGGACAAAAAGAAAATTATTTCCTGTGAGTCACTAAAATGTGCACAAATTATGATCATTCAACAACAGAAAACTGATGCCAGAAAAAGCCTCAGTAGAGAATGAAAAAGCAAAGCAGGACATCCCCATATAACATAATGCTTATTCTGCTGTTGTGTCTTCTTATTACTCCATCTCACCTTTTGGGAGCCCTGGAAAAGTGTTAGTAAATCTTTTAGCAAATACTGTTCTAATGTAACTTAGAAGATGGCGAAATCTCCCCTCTGGACACTGTGCACAATTTACTGCAGCAACAAGGGTCCGGATGTATTTCTATACATCTTTCCTAATCCTAGACCTGCACAAATCTTTATATTGCTCTGCATATAATTAAATTTGTTTTAATTAAGATGGATCACTTTGAATTTCTTACTGTTTCTTTATCATTTAAATTTAATAATTGGCTTCAACCTCCAGGAGTACTTTCTCCTTACAATGCAGTGTCAACACAATATATAAAGTGCTAATCAATCTCCATTACTCATCAACCTACTTACAACTTCAACACATTTAATAAAGAACGTCTCTCTTATTCATAGAAATTTTATCTGCTGCAACACCCAGAACAAGACAGGTAATGTCTGCATATATAAGGCTATATAAAGCTCCTGCCCCCTAAGAATGACAACTTAGACAAACTTTGAACATTGCGCTTAGAACAATTAAAAGAATTGATTGCTGGCTTATCTCATTAGTGTCTCATCAATAAAATATTAGCCTAAGATTATTCCCCTTTTCCCTAGCTAGAAGTAGTTACCAGTACTAACAGCACTATCTAGCTCTTCAGACCGTAGCTTTTTCATAGTTTGGGAACATGATTCCAATACTTTACAAAACAAATGAATAAAATAGTCTCCTCTTTCATCTCCACTAACACTATACATTTTAATGCTGAAGTCTCCTTTGTGCAATCTACATTGCAAGCTGAACAGCGTACACAGAATTCCCATGTTGCAAGATACCTCAATATAAATGGAAGAACTATCACCACATCTGACCCCTTTGTAAAACAGAAAAGTCAAAAGAAAGGCACACCTAAAGGATTCTCCACATTGTAAGAGAAACTAGACTACTGTAAACTGGCTGGCATGAAAGGATCTATATTCCAAAACAGGCTTGCCCTCTGCAGCTGGACAGTTTGCAAAGCCAGCTGGAACTCTCTCCAGTGAGCTTCAGGCTTGGAAAATCTGGAGCTCAGCCAGTTTCCTCCATCAGTGCTGGCCACCCTTAGGCAAGCCAGCTGTAATCTTCCTCTTCCGGACAAGTCCCAGGCAAGATGGCCAGCAGCTCTTTGCTGTGCTCTGTTTTCGGGAAGCACTAACAAGTGTGAAGAGTATGACCATTGTCACCACAAAAAAGCCAATACTGACGAACAATTACTAGTGTGATAGGGAGATGCTTCTGGGTTGTCTGCTTGGCACCTGAGTTGATGGTTGTTGTGGTATATATGATTTTTTTTATGCAGTAACGCTTACTGTCTGATGCTGCTTTTGTTTGTATAGAACTAATGTGAGGGCCATAAAGAAGTGCTTGGTTAACGTAATGTTTGGTTCTATTAACTAATTACTGATAAATTGAAAGCAAATACAGAAAGCCGGTTTTGCAATAAAGCCAATAAATTATAATTTTTAATGTATTCACTTCTCCCTAAATATTTTCTAGAAAAGGAACAGTATTAAGCATAGTTTTGCTCTGCACAGTTTGCTACCTTTTGAAAATGTAGTGGTCATTTCATGTACCCAGTAAGATGAAAATTCAGTCCTAGACCTATGACCTCCTTACAGACAGAAAAAACAACTTCTTTTGCCCATCAGATCAATCTCCACAATATATTATTTTAGCAGTTTTCAGCTCCCTCATATTGCATAGGTATGTTGAATAAGATGACAGAGCAACTCTTTACATTGTTAATCTCTACTCAGGTTAACATCACAATTGCTTGCTTTGAGTATGCACTGACGTGAGAGAGACACAGAAGGTGTCTCTCCCATAAATTTGGCTTTAGCCCATTCAGAAAATATTCCACAAGAACTATAATCATAAGAGTTAAGAATTCCTGTGGACTTACTGACACCTTTTGGTTTACATCAGTGTTTCTCAAAAGGTGGGGTGCAACCTGCCTAGTAGGCTCAGGAGTGTTTCAAGTGGGTTGCAAAACATTGGAAAAAGCTATGTTACCTGGCAGTAGGTTAGTCCTAAGATTGTGGCATGAAGTAGGGCTAGACTTACTGGCCATGAACATTTATATTTGTAAGGAACCTGTCAGCTGCTGTCAGAAGTTTGCTTTCCCCAGGACAGGGAGTAATTTTTACACCTACTGCCTGTAATTACAACTAGTTCCTGCTCCCCCACCTTGAAGAACCAAAGCTATCGTCAATTCAGTCTTATAAAACATGGATGAATCAAAAAGAAGTCACAAAAAGTCTGAGGAACACTTTTCTAATTAATACAACAGTCCAGAAGGGGTGGGAACAACCCATCTTAGAAAAAGAAAGAATGCAAGTGGCTGAACAGAAAGCAGCTGAGTTCAGGTGCAAACTATCCAAATGTCTCGTGTGTATTAAAAATGCCAGAGTCAGAAGTCTTAGCACCTAAGATGTTCTCACACGTTAAAACTATGCTCGCTAAAGGATGGTAAAATTATATTAATTTCATTTTAAAGTTAGTAATTTAACTGCTAGAAAGTATTTGTAAGGTTCAAAAGACATGGCTCAGATGGCTCGGACATTTTCAGATTGTGCACTGCTACTTTTAAATTAAAGCAAAAGAAATATTCTCTCTCCACACACCGTACAAATTATTTATATGCTTTATAGAGCCTATAAACTCAAGCATAGATCACTGTAAGGTTTTACATTATCATGTAAATTTCTGAATCTTGATAATACAAATTTTTACCAACTTTACACACTTTCTGGAACTTGTTAATTTGATTTTGAAACCTAAGTCAAGTAGTTTACTCGTACATACACAGAAATCACAGACAAAGAAACTCTTACATCTTTGCCTGAAGGATGATAATGCCTGTATAAACTCAAGGCCTTGTAAAAATCCTAAACATATTTTAATTACAACTGTAAATACACATGCAAGATCCTATGTAAAAGCGGGATAAATTCACCACACTCAGTAAGTGGCTGTATAGTTGCCTTATTGACAGTGCCTTTGAAATTAATGAGTCTAAGCACATAATACTCCAATATGCACAACAATGATATATTTCAGTAAATAACAAAGTATGGCACTATTTCTAAACAAAACATGCTGGTACAGTACAGCTATTCTTCTACAAGATTTTATAACTATGTGTAGAAGAGTTTAAAATGAGATAAGAGTCAATTTTAATGCAGACTAATCTAAGCAAAGCAGCATACCTAATGACACATTAAAAATTATACTTTTGCCTGTAAGTCTTGAAAAGCTTTCTGTTCTACATTTGTAATTAACTCAAATTCCACTGTGCTCAGATAACAATCACTGTATTCCAGACGAAAAGGCCAAGAGCGTACTTTCTTAAATTTAAGCTATGTTAATAATGTTATCTAAACTAATGGTTGAACATACATGTGAAATGCCATAAAATGAGGTACTACTATATATCACAGAATATGATACAAACAAAAAAGTATTTTCCCAAACAAGCTGCAATAAAAATAACATTGACAACTGCTATTCAGTTTCTTAAGCAATTCTCTTCTATACTACAGTACCTACCAGCTGAGAACTCTGATTTGACTGTACCACCTTAACCTGAGGAGGCTGCACTGTATTTGATACAGAGACTGTGCAAATGTTGTTTGGTTGCCTTATTCCTATTGTCTGCGTTGTGACAACAGAGGAAATGCTTCCAGAGGCAGATTGAGGTATAACTTGTGATAGCTTGGTTTGTTGAAGTGACTGCTGAGACGGCTGTCCTTGCAAAACTGAATGTTGACTATTCAGTAAAGATTGTCTCAATGCAGGTAGACTTTTCTAAAAAGAGAAGAAAGTTTATGAAATATCAAATTTAGCAGGTTGACAAAAAAAATATTTTGAGATTTGCTGTAAACATAATTAAAAGAATGCAGCTTTCTTTCCAATTTTATTATCTGCCTATTCATCAAAAAGAAGTAAGACTGAACATATTTTGTAAGAGGGAAAGTTCAGTTTACATTTTTAATAAGCTTTCAATTTAGATTTAGCAACCCCGTAGATTTTGATGTGCCCTAATTCCACAGTAGCAGTAAAATCTAACACTCCCCTCCTCAAGACTACCTAGAACTTGTAGCTTAGGTCTTTGGAAGGGCAAAAAATGGAAACAGAAAAGGCAGAACCACAGGAACAACTCTATTCCCATTGCATACTAGAAGAAGTAAGCTGCACCAATTTACTTCTCCTGACATGCCTCCAGTACCTAGAACAAGACGATTTAACTGTTGATGCCCTACAGCAATAGCTGTTTACTGTATTATTACTGATCTAATATATTCTGACTGGACTAGAAAAGTGTACTATTGTATGCTTCATGTTCAGACCAGTTCAACCAAAAAATATAGTTCTAAAAGGCTATACTGTACCTTCACGAATAAACTTTTTACTTTCTAAGTGGTAGTAGTGTTCTTTTGAAGTGCTCCCCCGAGGCGGCTGTACAGTGCAAGTGTTTAGCCCAAGCTACAGTTCTTTCTAAACTTCTAATATTTATTTAAAAACAAAATGCCTGTTGCCAAGAAAGGACTTCAAAGAAGGGAAACAAGTTAAAACTTATCACGATGTTAGAAGTGACTGCAGTGTAAGAGCAGGAAAAAACACAAATAAGGGTTAATGATAACTTGAAAAAACAGAAGCAGAGGGAGAGAGTTCTGAAGAAAAGTTGAAGGGAGAGAAGAAAGAGAGGAAATCTGCCCTAAACTGAGAAGTTTTGGACTAGAAGAAAAACACTTTTAAAACTATAGTTGTGGTTTTGTTGGGGCATAATTAAACACGGTTTGTATGTTTGTACATCATCTTGCATATGGAAGCTATTGTAGCTAATGTACAAGAACCAATTAAAAGATAAATTTACCCCCACGTATACTAACTTAGGACCCAACAATAAATCCATTTGGTATCACATTAGAACTTCTATTATAGATTAGTTCCAGATTACAAGCAGGATCAGCTAATCAATTATTTCAACAGCATTATCCAGTTTAGTTTTTCATAATCACCGTTACACATGCACTGAAAGTTATCAATGACTCAAATGTAGATTACAAAAACAATATGGGAAGAGCTTATTAAATTACTTGAAGCATTCAATAGAAATAACTTGTAACTATTCCAAATGTGAATGCTGTACTTCATAAAAAATGAGCTACTACCACAGAAAAGTGTATGCATTATAACAGTAAAGGATCACTACAGAATACATAATAGATGATTTCCAAATGAGGGAGTAACTGCTTTTTTATATAAATCTAATTACTACAACGTTCTAGATCAGGGCTACTCAAGCAGTAAATTCCAGATCAGCTCTGGATGACAAATAAATTTTTCTTAAACCTAAACCAAGGCCCCAAACACATAAGGTCTCCCTCCCGTAGGAAATCGCTGTTTCTTACCATTCTCTCAACCCGTCAGGGAGCAGTCAGCTGCAGAACACAGCCACAGCTCCCAGCCACGAAAGCAGTAAGCAGCACCTGGCTGGCCTGACAGAGATGGAGCCTGCACGTGACTTCCAGCCAAGAAGATTTCGGCAGAAATTGGCAGCACAAAGTAAAAATTGAGTAGTCCTGCTCTAGACAGGTGAAGCTGATTCCATTTAAAAAGCATATTCTAAAACTTAATGTATTGATATTTGCATTGAAATAAATTTATCTGAACAATATTCACTTTACCTTAAGGAAAGGTACAAGATATGGCTGAGGAGATGATTTGAGTTCCGATTGAAGGCGGCCTGTAAATTCTTCTGGATCAATCTTTGCATCCTTCAGGGGAAAGAAAAAAAAAAGCATCAACTCCTCAAGTTCAGTTGTTTGGTTGGGGTTTTTTTCCATATATTGGAAAAATATATGTATATATACATATATACATATGTATATATCTCTAGCTAAATAGGCTAACCATATCAAGAAGAACTTTCAAAGCTGAAGTCCCTCAACTCCTCTGTATCTATAAAATCCTTCTGTCAAGAGCTAATTTATATACGTAACATGCCACTCAGAATTCAGGGAGTTCCCTTGGGGATGCACAATTGAAGACACAACGAAATCCCACAAACACTCAAGTCTTTTTTGGGATTCCAATGGTATTTTGGGATTCCTATGCTAACATTTACATAGTGACTTCTTTTTAAAAATATGAATAAAAAAACCAGGTTGTTGAAGTAACCTTACAAACTATTATAAAATTTGTCAGTCCTTGTAATAAGAAAATATCTTTACTTAATTCCAAAACCAATTTTGAAAGCTCAATTTAACTTAGCAGAATGTGTATACATATATATAAAACTATATATGTAAAGCATATGCATATATAGAGTATACATAAGTGTATATATATAAAATTTTCACCTATATAAATGTGTGTATGTATATATATGTGTATATACTCACAAAATATACACTTACAAATATATGAGAAATACATACAGTAGTTTATTTAGTAGTTAATACAGGAGAACTCTATAAAATTTCAGTCCTTGTAATAAGAAAATATCTTTACTTAATTCCAAAACCAATTTTGAAAGCTCAATTTAACTTAGCGCAATGTGTATACATATATATAAAACTATATATGTAAAGCATATGCATATATAGAGTATACATAAGTGTATATATATATAAAATTTTCACCTATATAAATGTGTGTATGTAAATATATGAAACCAAAACAACTTTTAATAAATATATTTATTATATATGTGTCTCACTTTGTTTAAAATATTATAAGTTGTTACCTTTACTTAGTTAATCTTTCTTAGTATTCAAAAGTTAAAACAAGATTTTACTGGAACCACTGAATGTAATTGTTGAATGGCTCATACTTGGAAAAAGTCTTAGGCTTGTCTAAAATACAAAGGTTTCTCTGTCAATGAATTCGAAGAAACATATCAACTACTTTTAAATCCAAGTTCTTCATAGACTATATTTAATTTAAGAAGCTTGACCATTTGTCCAGCTCCACAGTAACATCTGTCTGCAACGCGTTTACACAATTCATTGAAACATATGTTGCACTGGAGACTACAGTAAGTCAGACTTTTTCTGGGCCCAAGGACTCATCTAGCTGAAACACAACTTTGCCTCTTGAAATCCACTTGCAGTTAAGGCTCCATGCAGGGGCATCTGTCTGCAGAACTGCTTGGACTCAGCAGCTTAGCAAAATACTTTTCCTTCAGTCCTAGAAACTCTAAACCATGTTGTGGAGGCATATATCTACATTCACTCTGTGGTTAAAACATTTAATAGCTTCTTACTGTTTCAGAAAAGACCATGGTTTGGTGGAAAAGAAACAATGAATTGTCAAGGAAAAAATCCTGTATTTTACTCTATTTTTCTAAATAAACGACCAAAATATTATCCATCAAAACAATAGTGTTTCTGATGAATGCATATGAAATACTTTGTTGCATTTCCCCTTTCAGAAACTAAGACAAAGCCTACCTTTAACAGATTTTTGAAGATATGTAACGTACAGAATATTTGCATTTTGATGTAGCCCAACTCCTTTCACTTTCATTACAGCAAAAAAATTGTTAGGATCAAAACAATAGTTTTCAGCATACGTAAATAACAAGCTTAATAGACAACTGACAAAATGAAAGATAACTAAATATTTACCAACAAATCCTGAACCAGAGCTTTCACATTACGGGACGTTTCCGGAGATGGTGAATTATGAGAAGCAAGTTTTATAAGAGTAGCTAAAAAGTTTTTGCATTCATTACGGGAGTTTCCGGAGATGGTGAATTATGAGAAGCAAGTTTTATAAGAGTAGCTAAAAAGTTTTTGCATTTTTTCACATTCTCTTGCATTTCCTGCAAAAGTCAAAGAAAACAAGTAGCAGATACAATCTATTTTCCAATCAGGATCAATGCATGCTCTGATCACTATAAAGAGGGAAAATGATGAAATTATTCCAATTCAGGCAGGACACATTTGAAATACATCTGCAGCTATTTTACTAGTGCTGCTAGTTACCTGACATTTTCTTCACTTCTTTATGTAACTGAACATCATACCTCACGAATACTAACAAAAAAAAATCAATGAAATATATTTAATATTTTACAGTCTGTTTTGATAGAAATAACCTTAAAAATAAGAAGTAACACAACAATTTGTTGGAGATGCATTCTCCTTTGAGATGCCCAATACACAATGTACAATGTTCCCCAAGCTATCTTAATTTGTTAAATTATTGATTCAGTATGTTTTTGTACAATGCAGCTACAGCAGTAATGTCAAATTAGAAATAGTCTTCAAACATCATCATATCTAATCTTTTCTTCATCAGTAGGAAAACAGATGCTCTAATTTTTTCAAGCCATTATTTTTATATGTTGTAGTTACTCCGAGAAACAGAAATTTTACACTTCAGTGTAACCATAGTTTTGAGGCCCAGCAACACGATAATAATGAAGTCCATAGACTGAAGGCCTGATTGCTCTGTCTGGAGAAACAGAATAGCTCTTTCACTACTGACACATACATGGCAGGATGGAGAAAGCTGACCACAAGTGTTCTTCCTCCCTCTCAGAATTTGTATCCCATTTAGTTGAAATGAGGGGAAGGGTTTCTTGTTTGTAAAGTATTTGCTTCGTCACGGGAAGTGTGCTTGCATGAAGAAAGAGTTCTTTCTGCTTCTGAATAGACCTTAGAAGTTAATGAAGTACTAAGAAAACCAAGTATCTAGTATTTTAAAAAACTTACCTGTGATACAACTGTGGTTCCAGGTACAGGAGAGCTTGGTATGACCTGGGGCTGTGCTGGTACTTGTGCTGTTGTATGAGGTGGAAGCGGCAGCCGAGGCTGACCCTGGTTTTGTGCTGAAGCTTGAGTTTGTCCACCAGTAATTACTGCAGGTTGTTGAGAAGCTGATGTTCCAGTTGCTACTGTTGTCTTGAATAAATTTTGAGCACTCGTTGTAGCTACTGATACCTATTAATATTTTATATTGAAAAAACAGGTAATTATCTTCTTTTAGTTCTTTTACTCAACCACCAAGTTCTTGAAAGCCTGACAAGAAAAACTTGTTTCCTTTCAAATACACACTTACCGGCAAAATAAAACCATTGACTTTACTTACTTATTATAACCCTAATTTTGTCACCCTTTAGTGAACAGTGAAAGTCCTCCTTTAAAGTTCTTTTTATTACAAAAATAAATGTACCGCTAAAAAATGAGTTGCTATTATCCAGCCCTTTAAGATCACCGTTACTTCTATAACTCAACTTTCTGTAAATTTGGCCCTTAAAATAAACAAGTCAATTCCCAACGATCTGTGGTCATGTCATCAGGTTTACAGTTATCTATACCACAGTTACAGTGACAGCTCAGATCCAAATGATACAAATGCACTAACACAGCTTCCCAACCTAATCTGAACCCAGCAGCAGCATATGTGCTTTTGCACCAGTGCAAAGCCCTAGCAAACAAAACTGTTCTGGACCTAGCTGGGCCACACACAAAGGCTGTGCTGCATGCTCCTCAACCTTAGAAGTCTGGAAAGCTTATCAGGCTGCACAGAGCGCCACACACACACACACACACCATCCAGTTCAGCTCTCATACTTTATCTGACCCTACATGCCACCCTTTCAAGTGCCAAAAAGTCTCAGACACACCAAATGGGACTGCAGAAGCTAGAGAGCTCAGCCAGGCAGCATAACATGATGAGCAGAAGCTATCAGGACCCCCCAGTCCAGCCTGACTGCAGAACTTTGCTCTGTCTTGGGCACAGATGCAGAACAAGCTGACACAATCACCTGCACTGCGATGCCACAGGTGATGCTGTGGATCCTGCGGCACACAGCAGACACCACAGCTCTTGGGGGACAAACGTAGTACAGCATGTCCACCACTGACACAGTATTCGTGAGTCCAGCTGGTTTAAGTTTTTTCTTCAAAAAAAGCTCAAAACTGAATCTATGCTACCCCCATTTTTTTTATCATCTAGGAAACAGCAGAAAATAAGATCTAGGCTATCACTCAGCACCTGCATAACACAGTCTGACTATACATTCATTATTAATTTCTGGGATTATGTTTGCGATAAAAGCAAACATAGGAACATTAAAATTCACTTTCGAAAAAATGTAATTACAAACATTCTTTTCTTCACCCATCTTTTGCTTTTTATATTCTTACTACTTACTGTGGTATGTGAAAGAATAGAGCCTCCTGGCAGAGTTGCAGCAGACGTAGCACTGACAGGTGTAGCAGTTGATTGAACAACTTTGGCTTGCACTGGAAGTCCTAGGCGGACAGTAGATGTGGCTACAGAAGTTGGTTGCTAATAAAGGAAAAATAACCATTTTATTTTTTTTCCTCCTTAGTAACTTGATCTCCAGGAGTTTTTAATAATAGCGATTACATGAATAATAATTATTAACGCTGCAAAAAGCCAAAAACAGTAACATGTTCTTAAATATATATTCACAAATAATGCAAGAATTAGCTTTACGTTCAATGATATGTTTGTAATATTTCTCCTAAAAGCTGTTTCTCATACAGATATGTGGAGAAGATTAGAAAAAATAGGATGTGACCTGCAAAAAATTGATGTTACATTGCTGTATTAGTTCAGTTGCAGTATTTACATGTCAGTACTCATCAATATTTGAGTTTATAATTGCCAGTAACACATATTGGTCATTTTGGTATTTACTGGCCTTTTCTAGCGCTTTTTCTTGAAGAAAATTAATATGGAGAGAAAATTCAGAGAACAGAAAAATATTTTCAAGATAATTTCAGATTAAATTATATAGAAACTAACTTGCATAGAAATGAAGTCTAAGCATTTTGAGAATCTTTGTCATAGAACGCACACTCTGTAACCAGACAGCAACTGGAATGTTAAGTGCAGACAAAGGAAAATGACTGGCTTACAGCCTTTCACTCAGTGGCATACTCTACAATTCAGTAAATTTGCCTCATGCAGCAAACATATTAATTGTTTTTGTAATTTACTTTAATTGGGAGAGAGAGATTGAAATCTCTTACCATCATATAAAAGGACAAGAATTGGGAATAAAAAATGACTCCAGGAAAGTTGTTATTTAATTCTATAGGAATGTAAATACCATTATGGAAGATATACATCACACAATATGGCAATTATGACAAAAAGAGAACTACTCATTACTAAAAATGGAGGCCCCACTGGTCTCTCATAACTTCCATTTATTAAGATTTGCATTCAAACACATACTTAGAAAAGACAAATTTTCTAAGCGGCTGGAGTACTAAATCATGGACAATATTGTTTCTCACAAGATAAAACTAATTTTTCTTGATTTACATTTTAAGTTATATGTCTCTATAATTAGTATTTTTATAAAGAACGGCTTATTTTAGATTCTTACACTGTCTATTAAACCTACATAAAATACTTCTTCAAAGAACATCCAATATACTTAAGAGATCTCCAGAAGGAACAGAGGCCCAGGCAGGCATTCAACGCCCCAAGCATTCCTTACCAATCAGTCCAGCAACATCATCTACTGGATATCAATCTTCTGTACTTGGGGAAAAAAAGGAAAGAAGAAAAAAAAAATCTACCTGACATCTGAACAAAACCCTTTTTTTTGTTTGGATAGCTTTCAAGATTTTTAAAATCTTGACTAGGGATGTCTTCCATACTGAGACAGCCTAGAGGCAATAAACAGCATCATCGTGAATAAGTAGAATTGTCTGGCTTTTTGGAAGAAGGAGCATATAAGCTTTTTCTGTTCTTAAATACCATACCTCTTTTCTTCACTGTAAAGAAGATCACTTGCTTCGATTTCCTTAAAATACTGCTTGAAAGAAACTTTATTTACCTGATGAATGTTTGTATTTAAAAACATAAATACTGTGTTATCTTGTTCATTTGCTTATAATCAGCGTTTCCAACCTAAAAATACAGCATGCTTGTGTTATATGCCCCCTTCTTGTCAGTAAGTGCTTCCAGAGGTGAGGATTTACAAAGCAAGCAGATAGCCAGGCAAATTTCTGGCAGCTACTCAGTTCCAAGAAAGATCTGCAGCCAGAAATCCAGAAATACATAGCTCAGACTGCTAGCTAGAGAATTTTTCTTAGCTAATAAATGCCCACAATTCATCACAGGAACATACTTGAAAACAAAACCGCATATAATTAAAATATAAAATTTCAGTATCGTAACAGCATATTATCCAACTAAGTATGCAATACATGCCACACATAGTATTCCATCGTGCCAGACCACAAGAGCAAACTCTGCAACATGACGACTAAATTCACCTTCAGTTTTAAAAATCAATAGTTACAAAAGCCTTTATTACAAAATGGCAGTAAAATCTATTAATGTGTTGGATATGAAGAAAAAGCCTTACTACCAAAGAACTGCAAACAAAGTAATGTAGCAGTTTACTAATGTGGTTCCAAACCTCCTAAATGTTAAAAAGGTAAGTATGAAATGAGTGGATGAGAAACATAACAAGGAACTAGCCTAGAGAAATTCTTAAATATCGTGGAAATGATCTTCAAATGACAGCTACAAGTTGCCAGAAGAGACTATAAGGACTCCCAACACAAATACTTCAAGAAGAACTGGTGAAAACTCTTTAGAAACAAATAGCTGTGTTTTCTATGAAAGGCAAGCTGTAAACAGATCTCATGAGAAATCCATCAAAAAGAAAACAAAAAATTTAAACAGTATTTAAAAAAATTATAACCCAATGTGTCAAGCTCCTACTGGAACAATCTAAAAGAACTTATTATGTTCTTTAAAGAAAAACTGCTAAGGTTTGGTATGATGCTATTAAATTCCAAAATTACCAAGAGAGACTTAGAAAGGAATATATTTTCAAATGTAACTGTATTATTTTTGATTAGACACATATTTTTCTATTTCCTAAATAAATGAAAGTAATGTTTAAGAGGCTTTTCCCCTGTACTCAGACATTAACAGGCAGGAAACTACAACATGAATGAATACAGTATATAATCCCCTACCAATCTCCATGGGGACACTTGGGAATGCTTAAGATTGCCTTTTGTATACAGACTTGAGCTGGCTCTGTCCACACAGAGAGGCTAGAAATTTTAAGTGGAGCACACCACAGTGCTACTGTGGAAATAAGGATTTCAAAACAGATCTGGCTCATGTCTGGCCAGCTTGGAGGGGGGATGTCCCCAGGTTCATTCTGCCTGCACATATCATGCAGATAATGCAAGTGACTCCAGTTCAGGGTGCAGTAAGTCACTTCCACAAAGGCAGTCAGTGCACATTATAATTGTTCACGGAAGAAGTCAGTGTGGAATTACTCTGTGTCCTGTAAATCCACTCCCTAAATAACTACATCTTAACTTTCCTGTGTAGACCTTCTCCCCAGAGCTCTAGACACATAAATAGAGAGGCAAAGCTTGAGGCGTGAACAGGAGTGAATCGCATTGTACCTGCTGTGCACAAACAAGCTGCTGCCTCTGTATTCGAAGGAATGTACAAGGCTGCATTTGAAAAAGCAGGCCACTTGAATATGGAGAAAATACGCCAAAATATCCAGGGATTATTTGTCACTGCCAAGGCAGGACTACACCAATTTTAGGGATTGCATTGTGTACTCGCAGCTTTATAAAACCAAGACAATTTAAACTGCCACAGGTTAGTACACCAATGTATGTAAACCCTTGGAAACAGGTTTGTGGTATACTTTTATTTTGTACTATAGTACCACCTACTGATGAACACTCCGGGTACCAGCAACAGTCTCTGCACTACAAAGCAAGAGAGCTTACTTTTGACAAGTATGTTGCATGTATCACTTCATGATCAGTCCTGTCAATAAACGTGGCCACTATCAATCACAAAAGGAAGAAAGAAAATACGCCAATAGCATTTGAACAAACATTAACAGAAAAGCAGGGGCAAGTTTATCGCAATACACATCATGACACCTCTTTCTGTGTCTTCCAATACATGGCTTCGCTAGGTACTATCCAAAACTCAATTTTAGCAGAATATGACCTTTAAGTTTAGATTTAAATTTGCAAAATCTGAAATAAAACTCAATTTTATTTTTAATCATTAATCCAGAAGACTTCTTACAAACAAAATAGGCCATGCTAAGATGCCCCAATGCCTCAAACAAAAAAAGACAGCATTTAACAAAGAGAAAACTAAGGTGGGATTGCAGACACTGGCAGAAGCATAGGCTAAAGGTCAAATCTGGTAGCTCATTTTAGAGTAACTAATTTATACAACCTTTCTTATAGGCATGGCTGGTAACTCTACCTACTATTAAGGTATCATAACACTCCCCAGTACCAAACTCCGTTTCCGTTACTTAATATTCTGTCAGATTTCTGAACAGTTCATGGAGAAACTTCATATGCTTATTGACTGCCTCTCAGTTCTTTTGGTTATGGTTCACCTGGAACGTGCACTTAAACGTCAGTTGCAGAGCAATTTGTATGTCAGGGATTTCATTTTTTCACTCTGGTAAAAATACAGCCAAATTGAGCCAAAGTATTAACCCTTTAAAAACTCAACATTTGCACACAATTGCAGAAAATGACTGGAGGCAGAATCTCTAACAAGTCAGCCAACAGAGGCAGAACCTTAATTGCCACCACAGTTCTGGGACACCACAGCATCGCTGGATTCAAGCATCAGAACCCAAAGCAGGGAGACGCTGCTGTGTTCCTCCTATTTGTGACATCCCTTTTGGGTTCACGAACTAGAACAACAATAGGGGACGAAGACACAGGACTGGGAGCAATTAGACTAGATAGGCAGAGGAGCTTGGGGCCGCCAAAGAAAACCTTCAGAAACCAGGGGTTCTAAGTCCAAAACCCCTACCTCTGAAGTCTCAGCATCCTGTTGGTGTAAGCAAGTACCTATATAATCCACTATCAAAGTACTTTCTCATTCCCTGGTGAAGTGGCTAGGTCCATCTATAATCACTAGGATTCATCCAAAGAATCTGGTGGATAAAAAGCAGCTGAATTTTGGCCCTACAATTAGATTCTACCCCTGCCTCAATTGCTCAGTGCTTGTGCTGCATGCAAATATAGATAATCTATTGTAATCAATACTCTTATGCCATATATTTATGAATGGACAACTTGAAACGTGGGGTTTGTGACCAGGAGTGGTCACGGCTGCAACTGAAGACAATGAAGTCAAACTGAACACAAAAAATTAACCAGTATTTTTATTTTATTATTTAAAATAGAGACAATTAGACTCTGTTTTCTACTTATAAAAAGAGGCTAATAATCCCCTTAACTGCATTGTTGAGAAAGTTGTTATAGGGATAAGCTTCACAA